CCGAAGAAAGAAAGAAGAGTTTAATTTCCCAAAATTTTATTAAAAAAGTGATTTTGTCAAAAGAAACGTTTATTGGAAAGATGAAATCTTGCTGCAGACGGTGCAGTTGGCTGTAATCTCAAGCTTTATCCCAATAAGAAAGCTTTTTTTGATATATTAAAAATGTAGGACTTTTCCACAACACATGTAGAAGACCTTGACAAAATGCTGATTAACAATCTTTAGTTAAAATTGTTCCTAAAAAGTAATCTAAGGAGAGTGAACCTTGAGTATTTTTCCTGTATCATTTATGAGCATTGTAGTTGGTGGTGATAAACTCTTCCCTGCCTCTCTTCTCATCAGAATTAATTAAAAAAAAAAAATTAATCAAGCTTTTTAAAGTTTAGTAGCTATATTTCTACTAGCAAGATTGTTTCCTGTAATGTTTTTATCGGGTTTGGTTAATAATCCCTAACAGATGTCCTACCATCTTAACAACAAATACTACGTAGCTATGCATAAAACATAAAAAAGCAACGGCTAATTTGATAAAAGATGACAAATACCAGAATCGCTAAGGTTAGATGAAGAATTGGAGGTTTGATGGGAGGCACACTGGAGTTGCATGCCAAAAGGGGCTAAAGATGGCGGCGTTTTGCTGCGTAGGCTCCTTGCAATCTCTGCCAGCGCCAGGCAGGCGTGCACCCAGTGGTACAGGTACTCGGCTGGAGCCAAGCCGTGCTGCCGCACCGCCGCGCCGGCTACGCCTGAAACAAAGAGGAACAGTAACTCCAAAAGCCAACTCGAAACAGTGGCCCGTGTTGCCACAAGACTGAACGGAGAAGACCATCCTGTCAGCGGAGCCTTCCCCGACTCCAGTAATTCCAGCCTGGAAAATGCACACAGCATTATTGTGACGGGGACTGGTCAAGCACAGGAGTGCTGCCTTTTTATTATAATTTCTTTTGTATCGTGGTAGGTCCCCTGTTGTACAAAGTGCTCCGCTATATTTTAATGCTAAACTTTTGATAATTACAAATGTAATGAGAAAAGTGGGGGGTTTTCCAAGCTTAGATTTGATTTAAGAGTAATTGCCCTTCAAACGTCTTTTACTAAATTCTATTAAAGGTCACCACAGAATCACACCATTAAAGGTTACTCTGTCGATAGAGCGCAGGTTGTTTCATGCTGTGTTCTATATTACAGCACACGTATATGGAACATATGGGCATTATCCAACATATACCATGCTGCTGTTCATTTTGAAGAAGTTCCTGTAACCATGAGTTATACCTGTATTCACACCACTGATCTGACACTGCTCGCTCAGTACGTTCCATCCTGGGAAACTAACCTTTTGTAGCATACTAGCAGTTTGCCAAAGCTGTATTCTTTGTACTTAGATCTGCATCCCTAACTGGAGGAAGACTGGATGCTCTAGGCCTGCTTCGTTCTTTCCAGTGAATTAGCTTAATATATATGAGGAGAACACATGAAAAGGAACTATGCCTGCCTTGTGTTCACTGTTCATCAGTAGGCAGGGTACTGTTGATAAATATCCCCAGCTAAATTAACAAGTCTTGTCCACATTTGATTTTTAAGAGGCCTCTCAGTCTGATTAGACCATCAAGGGAGAGATCTCGATAAGAACAATGGTTATTTCTCCTGCAGAGATATTACAAATAATAATAGCCTCTTGACTGCTCTGGCACCAAAAAACCCTCACATTCGTTAAAGGAGAGAAATACAGACTGAAACCCAGCTCCTGTATATGGCCAGTGAGTATATTAAGTACCTAGCAGATGGTGTTTACAAAGAGGAGGGCTCACACTGTCCTCCCATAGTCGTGTTGCTGTTTGGAACTGGGTCAGTCCCTCAGGCAGGGCATGGAGGCCTGAGGTAGATTTAACTTGCCAAAAGAACCATCATTCTTCATATGTTTATCTGGGGGGTTACAATGAGATCACTTGTTCTGGGAGGTTTCAAAGCTGATCTGCTCCCCTTTCCTTAAGGCAATGAATTTTGATTCTAAATTTAACAGGTTGACTTTTATTGACCAAAAAAGACTGCAGATATTTAGGACCCCTCATCTGTTGTTTAATCTATTGTGAAATCAAAGTTGATTTCTGAAGCAAGGACCTTAAAAGCACTCGGCTGAAGGTTGCCACTGACACTGTTTCATTGCTGAGCCATGTCTGGTAATCTCAATATTAGTTTATGATACTTACCAGTGATGCAGTCCAGCAGCAGCTCTGCTTGAACTTGCACAGATGCAGCAGTTGGATCAAAGCCATAAATCTCCTGAATCAAATTGTCATCAAGTTTCTGCAATGCAGAGAACAAAAAGAGTCAGGTGGTGGTGAAAAACTTGAGGGGGTTATAGAATTAAAGATGGCTAAGACAAGCATATAGGAAATCTGTAGGTAATGAATTATTCCACTGCCAGTTCACCCTTGGCAAATTCCACTGAAAATCAGAAAACAAAGGCTCAACTTTTTGAGTTCTCACCAGTTTACACTGACTCCAGTTCTCAGTCTTCTCTGAGCCCTTCCAGTTTGGATGAAAAAGCAACAGCACGGCCTTAACTATGTTATGTACAAGAGCTGGTGGTTCTACATAGCTCTTTATTTCAGCAAAGCTGTCAGCATTGAGTTTCTGGACACACTCGCGCAGGTCCTGCAGCATGAACCGGTGGAACAGAATCCCTGCATGCCTCAAATTTGCCACGTGTTCTGCCTCTGGAATCAAAAGCAAACCTTTCAAGAAGTTTCTCAGAAACAACCGCTACTCAAGACTTACATTATTGACCAAAAGGCTCTCCTCTCTTTATGAATAACTCTTTGTCTCCTTGACTGAGTGATTGATTAGTATACAGCCCAAGTATGCTGTGAAACTTTTAACAATGGGTATGTGCTTGAGAAGGAGACAAAACTTGCCTCAGGGGCAAGCAGAGGTCATGAGACCGTGAAGGGTTCAGGCACGCAGGTGATTCTGGAACTGTGACATTCAAATGCTTTTGATCTTAGCTGGGGTGCTTCTGAAGAGGACGTGCTAGATCCCTGAAGGCACCTTGCTTCACACCTTTGAGTTCAGTGGGAACTGAGTACAAAATACCCTGTGAACCAGAGTAAAAATCTAAACATTCTGTTTAACTGAACACTGCTAATCTCTTAGGTTTGCTCAGGAGTAGTTTATGGGTACCAAAGGTTTGTATTTGTCTTTTCATACTTGTAGGAATGATACTTTAGATGTGGTTTTACTCAGATTCCTAATTCCACCCCTAAAAAAACTATCTTGGCTCTGTATGCACAATACCCAGTACATAGGTTGGTTCTGTTTCCTCTAAAGACATCTTCAGTATCTCAGAGCAGGCAGCTTGGGCCATCTTTAGCATTTTCTGCAGGTCTTTGTGTTCATGAGGTGGTAATTTCTGGTGGTGTCCGATGCTGATATCAAATATGCCAAGAGCTTGTCCTGATAGGTCACGGAGAGGGACTGCAATGTGGTATTCTCCACAGACAGAAGTGCGAATGACCTCTGAACTGTCTACGCACTTAAATAGGTAATCTCTGAAATGAGAGTAAGGAGAGGAAAAGGTACTAGATTTTACCATTCTGGTTTCTTTTGGTAATTTATTTAGCATATTTTAGTGAGATGCCATTCATCTCTTCTTGTTAAAACAAAGGTATTACATTACTAAATCACTGTTTATCTCCTTGAACTGAAATATGCACATTCATTCAAGCCATATACAAAAAGGAGAAAATAGCTCTGTGGAACACAATATTGCTTAGCCAAGGCAATTGCTGAAAATCATAAGAATTTAACAAACCTTGCTTTAAAAACAGTTTCCTGTTTATAACCACATTGACATTTGTTCTATGGAATATTATAAAAAGTAAAAGCACCTGCTGGAACAGCAAATGGCTGTTCAACCGAGGATGACAAGAAGGGTGATATGCTTAAAAGACAAGTCTGTGAGGATCTTGGCAGTGAAAGGAAACAGTTGAAGGAAATGAGAGTAATATGGCCAGGAAAAAGGGACAGATTATTCTAAAGAGCAAAATGCGTCAGTGTAGGCTCTACTCCTGCAAACCTTTCACAGCAGATGTAGAGCTTGCTTGGCAGCTCAGCTAGTAAGCATTAAGTTGGAAGTTAAGTTTTTGCAGGCCTAAACTCAAAGACAAACTACTCCTTACCCCTTCGTAATTCAGTATCACATGCACAAGCACCAGAAGCCTTGATAGTGAGCGAGCCACAGCCCAACACTTGCAGGGTTGCGTTGCCATGGGCTTTATATAACGTGGATCATGCCTGATGCAGGCTGGAGTCTAGGACCAGTTCGATTGCAGGTGCTGGAGCCTACCTTAAGAAATTTTCTTTCCTGAGGAGAACAGGAGCACTATGAATTTCTTTTTGTCCTCTATTATCTGTAGTAATCATCTTGTGCAGAGCGTAGTCCCATGTCTGCCAGAGAGAAAAGGGAGGTTTAGCTGCATCCAAGAAAGGAAAAGCCACTTTGAAGCTTGGAGAGGGAGGAAATTGTTTATTTCTTAAAGGAAACTCCTATGTACGTTCAAGAGCAATGGGATGGTTTAAAGACATCTCTCAACAATGCTCGGGTTTACTCCCAGAGTGTATTGCCCAGGATGCATGAGGAATGTGCCCTGGACCTCCCTCAAACGATTTAATCCACCCCCAGTCTCCACACTGAGGAACACCCACAGGCCAAGAAGACATTTCCCTTCTTTTTCCCATCCTCTTGCAGTCCTCTTTCTCATGTCATGTTTGTGTCAGTGTGCCTTGACACATGAAAAGCACAGAGGGGAGCGAATGACCTGGCTATCAAGCAGCTAACAAGGGAACAGTGCAGAGCCTGGAATGACAACAGAAAGCTGCCAACATAAACCTTGCTTATCAGAGGAAGCAGCTGAATTATGGCTACAGCAGATGTCATACAGACTTTGTGATGACACAGGATCAGTCCTAAATATTGCATACACTTTTCAACTTCTTAACTCACTTGTATGTGAAGTGACAAGCTTACCAGGGCCTGAGTACTTGCTCATGAACTGGAATATGATCTGCAGGGAGAAGGGCTGCCTTTACAAGCTAGCTAATGGGGAGCAGCCACTTCCCAAGCTGTGTTTACATCTTGGCTGCTGACACTAGTTCAGAATGAAGAGATAAATACATTAGCTAGGACATTCTTTTTTTCCTATAAAATACCATAATTTTGACAGGCACAGAATCTCTGCAGAAGAGCATCTCCCTTTGTGAAGGTCACAAACTGCAAAGCTTTAGCAGGGACTTGCAGTGTTGGCTAACCTACGGATGGATGGATGGATGGATGGATGGATGGATGGATGGATGGATGGATGGATGGATGGCGGGCTGTGAGGTTTTGCTCTATTGCTTGCTATGCAGCCGTGAGCATTGAAGTAGGCAAATATTCCCTTTTCCTATGGAGAAGGGGCTATACTAGCAGTGCTCTTGAATTGTTTTACACTGGAGGATGAAAAGAATGAAGAGTGGCCTCCGTTACAGAGGGAACCTTCCCTCTCTACCTTTGTAGCCCTTTTGTTGTACAGGCAGGCACAAGAATCTCAGGTAAGCTTCAGTTTTTATGATAAAACCACTGGGAAATCCCAGGCAGCTAGAAACGGCAGGTCCTCACTGAAGCAGCCTTGTCAGCCCCTGACTATTACAGGCCTTTTTCCCTGCACCAATCTGCGTACCTTGTCTTTGCCAGGCTCTACCAGGTACATAGTAACAGTGTGGATGCTGGGTGCCCGGGGATGCAACCAGTCCAGAGCAGTAATGGTCATTTGTAGAACATTTTCCAGTGTGCAGATATGGTGGTAGGCTTTGCTGAATGCATGAGAAACTCCCTGTGAAAGCAGAATCCTCCAAATGAGCCAGACAGTTCCATATGATTTGGGGAAAAAAGCTGGGGAAATGTTTATGCAGCAAAATGAAGCAAAACGGTTGTAACAAGTTACTTTAATCAGAACTTGTAAAGCTGAAAAGTGACTGTGAAATGTCCCTTATCAAATAATGCTCTAAAGCTCCAAGTCTCCGCGTCACACACAAATCCTAAACTAGACAAAGTTGGGTTTCAGTGGAGAAAGGCAAACTGACTGGTAATGTTGGCTTGCTGCGCTCCCTGCTGCCCAGATGATGCATCCACAATAAGGCTGATTGTAAAGAGCATCCCAAAGAAATCCCGACTGCTCTTGCTTATAATTATTCCACCATGTAAAAAGTAAGGCTTCCTCCCACTTCATGGAAACAAATACAGATATGAAGTTCAGAGCCTCAGGAAATAAAAGCTACTATCTTTGGGCTTTGAACAAAAGTGCAATTAATTTACTAGTCAGGAGAAGCTTAAATAAATTACTGATGAAGTGATACCTCATAATCAATTACAGCAAAGATGCTAATCAGTAAGATATTGATAAGGTGTTCTGCTCGCACCACTTTCACCATATACAGTAAAAAGGGGCCCCCAGTTCTTCTCGTAGTTGTACATGTTTACTCAGAACGAACATGTAAAATTCATGTGGTCCCTACACAGCTTTTTGAAGAGTGGTCTAACAAATTGCTTTCTGATGGTGCCCACCTGATAGAAACTGATCTCATGGGTCAGAAAGATGGTTTTCTCACACTGGTCCCGAAGAGTGTCAAGAGCTAGAATGCCAAAGACTTTCCAGCGAGCATCGTGCAATGGCAGCACCAGGAGTGAACCTTTTCTCTCCTCCACTGGGCGGTCATAGTTCCAGAAGTGGATATTTCCGTGGAGCTGAACTCTTGGAATGTGGATTGGTTTTCCCTCTTCAACAGCTGCAAAGCTGAACAATAAACTTCTTGAGGGGGTTTGTTAAAGAATAGCAGAAGACCTTTAGCAAAGCAATAAAGTGCAGCTTTGATCTCTCCCTGCTTTTTGGCATCAGAGAAGGAAGGTGTTAGCTCCTTACTCTGACCACAGCCAGAAGTATCACATTTACCACTTGCATCCCGAAGACAGTGGTAATAAATAAGGCACTTTTCATCCTTAGGACATTTTAAAAACATCAACTAATGAATGTAATGAAGAGGAATACAGAGGCAAGCAACAGTTGTATTTAATAGGTTAGAAGAAGCAATATTTAAAGAAAGAGACAAATATGTCTAGCTTTTGGAAATGAGAAGAGGCATGAAAGCTGTTTGTAGTGTAAACACTAGGGAAGGAAAGGCATTGTTCTCAAAAAATATCCTGTGGATGTAAACTGGTGTAAGGGAATTAATTTTTAAAGAAGAAAACATAGGCCCAATATAATAGACTTTTGCTGAAGGATGAGATTTATTAGACTGTGAGCTAATCTCCCCAAGGAAAGGAGTGAAATCCCAAACAGAGCAGTTCTAAGTAAACCATGGAAAGTATAAGGGCATGTATACAATAATGAATCCTTCCACAACGGTCCCTGAGGACCAGAATACTCTCCAGAATACTCTATCAACCTCTGTTTGCAGTGTACCCCAAACACTGCTTGGTACCCCTATATTCCAACTATTTTTGAGAAGAAGGAACAGTTATTTGCAGCTTTTCTTACCTTACTCCTTTCATGTCTCTGTAAAGTATCTGGTTTAGAACATACGGAGCATCATCTGTGGTACATGCCACATAGTGTAGGAGAATCTGTCCACGTTCTGGCGAGAGCTGATTCTCTTCCAAAAGGGCAATATATGCACTGATCTTCTTGTTATCCCCATGGGCTGCTGCATCCTAGCAACCAAATGGTTCCCATTACATTATGTACATTAGCCATTGGCCATTACACTTATTTCATGTACTTAGCACTTGTCTTATTTTTTGCTGAGTTGCTGTTCTGAGTCACTGATTTTGTATGTCATGCATCAGCTGCATGACATGTATGTGCCTATGTTGTTACAAGCAAAAACACTTGGTATTTTGATTGGCAAGGCAAATGGGTTTCTTTTTTCCTGCTGCTAATGGGGAGCAGTTCATATAAAAATAATCCCTAATTATAACCAGTGCCTAAGCAAAACTCCTATGGACTTCTTCTCCAATTGGAGAGTTCCTTTGGAACAATCAGACAATTGCCAGAGTTGCTATTACAAATCTAGAGAATATTGTAAGAACACATCAGCTACCATGAGAGAAGCTTTGCTTTGAGGAGGGCTTTAATGGTGAGGACAAACATCTGAAGTTGCAGCTGCAAGTTAAAAATGAAACTATCATCTCCACTACAGATTAACCGTCTTTGTCCCAAACTGAGCCTGATGTGTTTCATTTCAGAAGCTCCAGAACTAGAACTGTGGATTTCCAGATTTGATCTGAGTCAGCTCTTCAAAAAGTGAGACGTAAGTATCCATGAGATGCATTCTGTATTGGCAGAGCATGGACAAGAATAGTTGTATTGCCGATCTGGCCTGTGACTCTTTCTGTGCACAACCATTGGCTCTCCTGAACACCAGCTAAGTTCAGAAAAGCACAAGGAAACAGCCCCAGAGCAGCTTCCCCTGCTCCCTGCGAGTTCCACTCAAACGCACCAGGGTTTGAAGTCCGTGTCACAATCCCAACACAAACGACTCTTGTGCTCCCTGGGATGCATACCTGGGAGAGGGCCTTAAACACTGCTTTATAAACTGGTTCCATGCTTGCTCCGCTGGTCTCAGCTGCTTGCTGGATATTGTGCAGCCATTTCCTTCTGGCAAAGCTCTGCAGGCACTCCATGTGACTTCGTTCCACGCTTGCGGTCAGAAATTCCACCAAGTTATCAATAGCTTCATCCTCATCGCCAGTGAACTCGGAAGCAACTAACTCAAGGAAAGTCTGGAATGCCTTTGGAGATAGCTTCCCCACTCTGCTGAGCCGTGGGTAATGGGAGCAAAGGTGTTTCTTTGCTAGGAGAAGAAACAGAAAATAAGACAGGGACGGTCTATTTGGATAAAATATTCTGCTTTTCTTGTGCAAAATATGAATCAAACCCTAAACTGGCTTTGGGTGGAGTTCACCGGTCCATCATTCTGGGTTTCTTCCAGCTATGTCCTAAATGGAAATAGGAAAGCTGCTTGGAGTTATCAAAAATCAGAGGTATCTTCACATCAGAACCAAATTTTGTAGACACTTGAGGGAGTGGTGGGACTGGGCTGCAGGTAGGCATTCTGCATACAGTAACTATAGTAGTTGAGACCTTACAGAAAAACTATTCATCAATCCCATTAAAAATGTGAAGGCCAGAGTCTACAGACTCACAGATCACTCATATTCCTGGATTCTCCATGATATACCATACTTGCAGACTTTTTTTTTTTTTAAGCCTTCTGAAGGAATTATCATTCTTAATTACCCTTCTTTAGGTGCCTTTGATGAATTATTGAAATCACATGTGTATTGTGCTAAATTTCATAAATGAAAAGCCAAGAAAACAAAAGCTCTATTGAAGTCACATAGAGGATGGGACAACAATGGAATCACCTGTACTGCACCAAGATGTGTGTGTAGCTGTGGAGCAAAAGAAGCAAGAGAGCTTTTATAAGAAATACTGTGTTTAGAAGAATGAATTAGTGTGAAAAACATCTAAAACAGTGAGGTGCTGCCTGTTAGCTCCCAGGGAAGTGAAGGAGTGCAGAGATGGCTGCACGGACCTGCTCCTTCCCATCCTGCACAAGGCCAGGGAGCAGAGCCGTGCCCCAGTCACCTTTTTCATGTCCCAGCAACTGCGGCTGAGCTGCCGCAGCTAAGGCTGCAGCAGAAAGGTCTGGCAGAGTTTCCTTTTGCTTGGAGGGAGGGGGAATAAGGAATGCCACAAGGGTCAACTTATGATTCCCAAGAATCGCTTTCCTGCATCTACTCATTCTAGTTCACAAACCCAATTTGCCCAGCGGCCCTGAAGTCAAAATGGCACTTCATCTTAGACTTGTAATCCTAACACGCTGAGCACGAAAATGTAAATTTACCCTTCGGTTTCTATTCAGATGTTACCTAAATCAGCAGCCGGGCTCCCAGGGCTGTTCAGCCCGTGTGCCAGGGGCTGCCAGGCTGCTCCCCGCGCCCGGGCCCTGGGCTCACGGGGGTGCTCTTGCACAGGCTTTGGAAGTTCTGGCGTTGGAAAGCCGGGATCGCCGGCTGCTCTGCCCGAGCTGTGCTTGCCTGATCACGCTCCTGGCAAGTGGTTCTCCTCAGCGCTGCCATGACTAACACTTTCATCATTTTTTCTGCATCCTGATTTCAAATCCTCTTGGAGCCGAAGAAGTAAAGGAAGGAGAGCTATTCGTCAAGCCGCTTCCGACTAGCGAACTAAGCAAGCGAAGATGTATAGGTAGAAGCGTGACTTTGCGGCTAAGCGGGGAGCATTTTTGTGATCAATACATACAGTGGGCTATAAGGAACAGTGTAATAGAAACTGCTTTGATTAATGATGCACAGGAACAGGCAGGGAGCCGCCCTGATTGCTTCCCAGTGCACCCAAGACTCAGGTGTTGATGGGAGCTGAGAGCCTCCTCCTTTCCCCATGGAAGTGAGGGAGCATTTTATCACTGGTTTTAGCTGTAGAAGTAGCAAGTACTAACTGGCCCAAATCATGGTGGAGCTGACTGTTAATGCTGTCTTATCCTGCCCATCATCTAAAGAACATTCAGTATTTTTAAATTTAATTTCTGATTTTCTGGCAGAATTGGGATGGAGAATTTTTTGATGGTATAAAAATGTTTGGATTTTCACTTCCACTTTTTTCTCTCTCTGATGAAGGAGATGAAGAAATACACATGAAGTTGAACATGGTATCATCAGTTCCTTCATCACTGAACCACAACATAATGAATTATTTCCTGATTATATCTGTAACATGATGTTTTTCACTTACAAGGAAAGTAAAATAATTCTACCCACTTTTCACTCTGTGCTTTCGAGGAGGATTACAATGTCTGTGAAAGCTTCCTCCAAACCTGCTTGTTCCATGCTGTCTCTGAGAGATGAGGTTGAAGCTGCTAGAAATAGTTTTATGTTGCTTGTAGGTGGTATTGATTTTGCTATGCTATTTTTCTATTTATTTGTCCTTTAGTTTATGAGCCCATCATGGAAGGGACTATGTCCTTCCATATTTCTGTAGTGTTGTTGTGGCATGCTTGGAATACAAGAGCGCTGTAAACTGCTGGTTTCTTCTGTGGCTGTGCAGCCAGGAGACAATTAACTGCAGCATGCCGGTGCGCTCCCCACCCCACCAGCTGCCTCAAGTGAGCTAAAGGATAAAGGGATTTTGGTGGTTGCCAAAATGAGCCATTTTTAGTAATGTGCAGCAGAACAAGCAACATGAAGATGAGCATGAAGATGAATAAACCAGTCCTCTCCACCCAAGCACACATGCAGACATGTTCTTAGTTGCTAATACAGTATTTCAGAGCAGCTGATGCCCACGTATTCTCAGGTATGAGGCTGCCAGACAGGTCCAGGTGAACCTGCAGCACTTCTGTCTGACCCAAGTCTATTCTGTCAAGGACTAAATTTGCTAAGTTTTTTCGGAGAAATGAACCAACAGAGCAGTGAGACTCCAAGTTGCTACCTAATTCATGAGAGCTGTGCAACAGTGTGCATTACTAAAGGCTATCTGAGACCCATAAGGAAAGCTGTTGTTCTCTCCTATGAGATACATCCCTGCAGATAGCACAGTAAAATGTATCTCTTAAAAATAGCTGGATAACACAGATGGGCTAGACTAAAAGTGCAAACTTATCCTTAGACTTTACGAGTGTTTTTCACTTCCATATCACAAGTATACATTGCATGTTACAGCTGAAATAATTTTTCAACACATCACAATGTCATGAAAGCATTGGGCTACCTCTCTGACTGTGAATCTGTTGCAGAGGAGTCTTGCACAGGAGGAGGGGATAGAGCTATGCATTAAAAAGTAGGTCTGGATAACTGTTTTCATTTTATACATCATACTGTGTATGCTTATGACTGCTTGCAAACACAAAAAATGACTGGTGCTTGCCAACAACTTCATTAGCATTGTCGTTGCATGGTTGACACTGTTCTCTCAGAGCAAAGCTGTTTCCTTACCCTTCCTCAAGGCCTCTTTTTCCATCCCTTCCTTGAATGTGCTTAGAACAGCATCCACCTCTTCCAGGTCCAGAAACCCAGATGCATTGTTGTCCCACTTTTCAAAAAGGGCTTCCAAAAGGGCTTTCCGTTGGGCCAAGTGAGAGATGTGGTGAACCTACAATAGAGGAGGAACAGCCAGTCTTTGATAATTCCTGGGCACTGATGCTCAGTGTCTACATAAGTATGGGAACTGCAGTGGTATGCTGATCACATAATTCCTATGGGCCAGGCCAAAACTGTACATACACAGCTCGGACCTGGAGATGAATCATTAAACCTGGGAGATATTCAGAAACACTAAACACAGCCAACAGTTCCATTTTACCAGGCAGAATCAGCACTGCAGAGGGTTATTTCCCAGTGAACAAATGAAGCTCGCGCTGGATCTAAGGTGAGATCAACTCAGGTCAGTGGAAGTTTCCCAGAATACAAATGTCTTTCCAGCAAGAACTAACCACAGCCTTGTCAGTAACATCCAACGGTTTGACAGTTTGTATTTCCGTGCATAGTTATTTTGTTGGTGCTGCCCTGAAGTGTGTGGGCTCCAAGCAAATGCATGTACAATTTGTCCTTTAAGCCCCATCTTTGCACAGCATACAGCGATAAATGGCTTGAGTGGAATTCTCTCAAAGGCCAAAATACTAGCAGTGTGTGTTGGTGTTCAGCGTGAGGACAGTAGAGCCGTCAGATCCAATATCTCATCCAAATTAGGTCAGCAGCACAGAGGGAAACTAGAAAGAGGTCTGAGGCAAATGCAGCTAGAGAGGCTACTGTGGACAGACCCACCATGAAATATAGCTGTACTCTGAAGTGATACGGGGCACTCTGAAGCTGTGCATGAGGATATTGCTGAAGGGGAATGTATTTTTTCAACACACGGCAAGAGCACCTTGTAACTTAAACACAAAGAATCATGTGCACTTAAACACCAAGAATCATGTGCACTTTCACGTACAGCCATGCACATAGCAAAACCAAACACACTTGTTTTAAAATCCTCCCCAAAACATCCACAACCTCGTATGTACATGCCAGTGCAGTAGGTCAGAGATCAGGTTCTTGGCTATTATAAAGGTGAATAAGCAGAATGGAATGTTTTGAGCTCTTTCACAATTAACTATCAACCTGCTGTCTCACTGAGTCCGGCTCTAGGACAGACAACTTCTTACGGATGAATCTGTCATCACTTCTAGCGCTAAGGGCTAGGGAGGGAGAATCCATATGACAACAAGGGGTAAAAGGTCTCTTGAAGAAATAGAGAATGCAAGGCTGCAAGTGAATAGCTCTGCCAGCATGAGATTAAAAGGTGACTTTGTAAGTATCTGTAGGCGTTTGCTTGGTTTTTGTTTGGACATGGGATCAGCAAAACATCAATATTTACTTTTTCTCGTTGTTCCATTCTCTCCTCTTCTGTCTGTTTGTATTTCTCTTTGATAAATGCAATAAGCCTCTTCACAGTAGGCAGCGAAGTGTCTTCACCAACAAATGCCTCCATGAGCTGTACAAACTGTGACAGGTTGAGGCAGCTTTCATCAAAGGCACTCCTAGTATGAGAAGCACAACGGTTCTGAATCTCTGCCATGATGGGATGTAAGTCTGAAAGGCAGAAAGCACAGTGTGTCGCAGGAAGCCAAGTGCTGCCCCAAAACCAGCCACGTGGCAGATATCAAATCAGTCCTGAATCCTGCGCTTCCTATCCAGTGAAAGTATGGCTGAATATGAATCACAGAATCACAGAATCATTAAGGTTGGTAAGGACCTTCGAGATCATCAAGTCTGACCGTTAACCCAACACCACCATGCCCCCTAAACCATGTCCCAAAGTGCCACGTCCACATGTTTTTTGAACACTTCCAGAGATGGCGACTCCACCACCTCCCTGGGCAGCCTGTGCCAATGCCTGACCACTCTCTCAGTGAAGACATTTTTCCTAATATCCAATCTAAACCTCCCCTGGCGCAACTTGAGGCCATTTCCTCTCGTCCTATTGCTGGTTACTTGGGAGAAGAGACCAGCCCCCACCTCACCACAACCCCCTTTCAGGTAGTTGTGGAGAGCGATAAGGTCTCCCCTCAGCCTCCTCTTCTCCAGACTGAACAACCCCAGTTCCCTCAGCTGCTCCTTGTAAGACTCGTGCTCCAGACCGACTCCATGCTGACTAAAGACCTTAATCTGCTTATACTTTTCTAATAGTATCTCTTCAGATTTATGCTCCAGTCTAGCATGGATGCTATCATACAGCCAGGTCAAATCACTGAATACAGGTGAGCTGAAATTACTGTTACACAGCAAGTGGCCTTCGGAGACAAAGACTATACTGCCTGTATAACTTGAAGTCAGCTGCAGGAATTATTGTTTGTAGTGTTGCCAAAACTTTCAGCTCACAGCAGTACTGGCATGTCTGCAGACACTGAGAGCCACTACGTGCCCAAGTGAACACACAACTTTTTGACCAAATACCTGGAAATCTAGTGCTGTCACACTTCCAGTCCTCTGGAATTCTCTCTCCATAGCTGGTATACCTGCCACTTAGGTCAGAAGTCAGAAGGTCACCTGATGAAAGATAAAGTATACCATGTAATGATATAAGCTTTTAAAAAAGACACAAGATGTAGCTTTTACAGAAGCCTTTAAATACATCCATCCAAGCTATAGTTTCTACAGCAGATGAAAAGAGCTGACATGAGCAGTCACCTGACCATGGCACTTCAAACTGCTGGCTAGCTTCAGCAGGAGAATCCTGTCTGTCTGAGTGTGCTGGACCTGCAATTTCAGAAAGAAATCTTCTGTGAACCAGAGCTTACTAGTCTGAGCACCCTGCTGATTATTATGTAAAATCTGCCGCTGTGTTTCTGGAGTTACCCTTGTTATCAGTAGCTATTTATTTTTACTGGCTGGAAATTCTGCTTCCTGAAATTCTCCTGGTGAGTGTTACATTTCTTAAGTCCAGCTACAAATACCTATTTTAGCAAGAGCAATAAGATAACTTTTTTCCAAGATGGGTTCAAAATGATATTCAGACTTCTTGTTTCCATCCACCTTTCTCTCAAAGAGCATCACACCATCATTTCTACAAGAACAGGGTGGGAATCTGCTCTGAAGATGGAAGTACCGCACGCCCCAAACAACATGGGATGTGCATCCAGGGACTGGCTGAATGACAGGTTAGTGCTGTGTACAAGAAGTTAACCACGGAAAGCTGTAGGTACCAGTGGGCTGTACCATCAGCTTTACAGCCCTTTATGTAATAAGTCTGTCACTAGACTGCTCTGGCAACATAGACCCAGTTCTTGCAGTGTTTTAAAATGTGAGACACAAGAGTGTATTCACAGAGTGCTAGCAAGGAAGTTGGTCCTTCTAGTATGTTTAAGAAAGTACCTCTCATAAAACACACAGTTTCCCGACCACAGCCTTCTTAGAACAAGGGCCTTTGTACACAAATAAGTATGATATTCCTCTGGAAACACAGTGAGAGGTCAAAATAAAAGGTTCCTGCTATATGATCCTATACTGTATCTCCCTATAGGCAATCACAGTCTAAAAATTATTAGAAGTAATTTCTAAATTTAACGTGCTCGGGCACTGTTTCACGGAGTGAAACAGAACATAAAGTTTCTCCTAATTATAAAAATGCTGCTGCTTCAGAAAGTCCCTACTTGAATTAAAGTGTCTGCTCAGTGCCTTGAATACAGATCACCAGCAAAGTGACTCACCTGCCATCCTGTGAGAGGAACATGCTCCGAAACCTTGGCGGAAAACACCGTGCTGAGAAGATATCAAAGCTTATCATCTCAGGTATTCAGAAGTCACTCACATTCAAAAACAAGGTTTTGAAATGGATTAAATACACACCTACAGTTAAACCAGTCCAAATGTATATGTTGAAAAAGAATAAGGTCTGCCAGAATAAAAGAGAATGCATTACCTTTATCTTGGTCTTGCAGAAGGTCCTCATCTGGCAGTCTTGTCTCTGAGCTTGTCTGTTGGCCAAACTGGCTGCCATGCTGCCTAGAAAAACTCTCTTTTCTCACAGGAGTTTCTTTCACAACCTCTGCAACTGGAGCATCCTGTTTTGAAGCAATGACATCCATGCCTGCCACAGCTCTGTCTTCTGAGGGCATGGTTATAGCTTCAGGTGTTGGTCCTGAAATTGTGTTGGTTGCCTCTGCAATTGAATTGTCCTTCTCCTGACCAACTTGCCCTTCTGAGCCAGGTTCTCTGTCTGAGATACGATAATCATCTTCCCTATTTGTTTCTGTATCCGGCTCTCTACCCAGGTTAAATTCCTCTTCCTCCACCTGTTTTTCAGATCCAGGTTCTCCCCCTCTACTGAGACTGTACCTAGTAGAGGCTGATCCTGGGAAAGCTTCCTCCTGTTTGTCTGCACTTCCAGATGCAGTTTGCCTCTCCATTTTGATGTCTTCATGGAAACTGGATTTCTCACTATGTATCATATCTCCATCCAAATCGCTCGCTTCAGAATCAGTGATTTGCACCGCCGACACAGCGTCCTCACCTTCCTTTCTCACTTCAGCATCACTTGATTCTGCTACTTGGTTTTCTTCCATAGAAATTCCTCCAGTCTCAGCTTCATTTATGCACATTTGTTCAAAAAGACCTCTGACACTAGGTCTCATTCTGTATGTGCCTTCTCTATTATCATCTACGGGTTCATATGCTACAATCTCTCCCTCAGAAATTCCAGTTTGAGACAAGACCAACTTTGCACTGAGTTCCTCACAAACTTCCTGATCATCAAGGCCTCCCCATAAATCCATAAGATCAATCTCTTGCAGCTCAATTATTGGCCCTAAAATAGAAAAAATATTGATAAGTTGATAGTTTGCATTGGTTTTATGTTCTCTAGTATTGCATAAGAAAACTTAAAGAAAAAAAAGGTATTCCCAAGCAAATATTAACTATCAGAAAGTACCCTCCGCAAAATGCATCTCAGAAACACAAAACTCCAGAACAATGTCTTTGCCTGCAGAGAACTGCACTTGTTATTGTGTATTACACCATATCTCTTTTGAAATAAATGTTTCATATTTTTCCATACTAAGAAGGAAAGCTGTAATTTGCCTTGCATTTGATTTTAGCAATAAATTAATGTCCAATATCTTCAAAATATTTTACATTTATGTAGATGATTCTCTGTGTTTTTTCTTATCCTTCCATGTTCCTGGAGAAATTTTAGTGTAAACACGAGATTAACTTCTAATATTGCCCAGTAAGAAAGAACAATTGTTTCAGGAAAAGTAGTCTTTTTTAATCCTGCTTCCAAAACCTACTTCAGAATTGTGTAGGAAGGAAAAGTTTTGGATGCTGAAGCATTTCTGAACATTGCATCACAGTTTGCAAAACAGGTTTGCAGATGATGGTGTATAGGTCACCGCATTCATTTGCGTCTTTTTTAGGCTCTGTCCATTTCTGGTAGCACTTATGAAATACATATTAACTATACAACCTCCTCAAGTTTTAACCACAGTTGAAACATCCCATATACTTACACTGTCTTGGGTTACTGAATCCCCTCTTAGCAATCACAGGGCTTCTGTCATAGAAGTCTACCAGTAGGGCAAGTATTTTTTGTCTGTCTAAGAGACCCACCTAAAGAAAAAGATTACAATTACTGGGTTTTTCCTGTGGTTCTTGGGACTTACAACAACATTTGCAGCACTACAAAGGCACCATTAGCTAAGAATTAACTGTGACTGAAAATTATGCATTAGCAGAACATCAGTAAAAATTTCAAAGAAGTGAATTTATTTCATAGGGGGTAAAATTTTTTTCTGTGAGCTTAGCCAGAACTCAGCATACATATTAATATTACTTTGCAGGCACATCCTCTTGCATATTCTGGGCAAATTACAGTTAGACGATTGTAACCACTTCTGCCAAAGGGGTTCTTCATGTAAAGATCAAAGCTTCAACGTTTCACACTTTCAGGACTGATCTTGATTGTCTGACAGCACTGTGGAAGAATTTTCACATATTGTGGGCTATGCTGCATTACTTTAGTGACTGCACATTGTAGTTTGGTGTTGTGCCCCATCATTTCCTTTGAAGCATTATGTATTGGCAACTGCCTAGAAAAATAATTAGTCAAAAAATCTGAGCTATTATGACAACCTCCCTAATTTCCTTTGAAAATTCATACACATTCGACCACAGAGGTGAGAGAGGTGTCTGTAGTTCCAGTGCAGAGGAACATGCAGATATTAAGTCCTTGTTGCTCAGGGTGAGCGCGTACAGACAATAAAACCAGGAAAAGACAGTGAAACGGGTCATTTCCAATCAGGAAATTGTCTTTAAAAAGTAAGGCAAATCTAAACGATTGCAAGTTTTCCATTTGATGCGAATTCCTGTTGTCATTATTTAAGTCCTGCCACCTTTGTAATCTCCCTGCCATTAGTGAAACACAGTAGTTAATTAGAGAACAGATCTACTTAAGTTCATTATTTGTAGCAAGTAGCTTTCCATCTGAATAATTGATTTCCTTTTCATATTTTGCTCTTAGATTAAAAACTGCAAAATGTAGAATTCACCAAGTTTTTAATTCCTTGCGAACTTTTCCTGCCCTTAGGTTGAAGAAATGAAGGAAGTTTGCTGCTCTTTTCTGGAAATGAGCTCAAAATGACTGCGTCGTTTATAATGTGAAACCGTAATTAATGGCATCCTTGTTTAGAAACAGAGGATTTGAAAACAACTGAGAGGTACGTATCATCTACTGCTGAAGTGCCTCCCAAGGAAGCCAATACTGAAAACTAAGTGAACACATCACATTTTCTGTTACTGCAACACCTTTCCTCTGAAGAGAATTGAAAGCTTTTTGCAAATTCTGAGGAAAGGATCAGAACTGAAATGTAACCTGTCGTCCAGTCCATTTTTTCTTCAGACTCCCGTAACATAATTCCTGCTTCCTGCTGATAAGAAATGCTGGAAATCAGAGCTGAATTTCAGCCATGCGTGGATTTGGAACAACAAATGTCGTCACATAATTCTGTCCTTAAACTTACAAGATGTAGGCTCTGATTTCCAGCATCTTCATCTTCTTGGCATTAACGTACAAATATCTTGCACGCTCCAACCTAAACGTTTCTTTAGGCTGTTTGTTTTTCAGTTGAATGTATCGGATTGGGTTCTGAATCCATTTAGTAGATATACAAACACAGAACATGTTTCTGAAGATGTTACCAGATCGCTGTGTAATATTTGGCTTCTCCATTCAGTATTTCCATTACTCACACTCAATTTTCCCTTTAAATTTCCTCAGCTGTTACTTGTCACAATCATCTGCTGGTTGCCTTGAAGTTGGCAGCACTAATGCAAAGCTTTGTTTTATTAAAAACGTAAATCAATGAATGAAGTATTAGTAAAAAGAAAATAAAGTGTTGTTTTGGGATTCAGGTACTTTTTTGTCAGGTTAGAATAATATACTTGGAGGATTTAGATAACTCAGATCCTAGAAGAGTTTTTTTGTGATTTAGATGAAATAATTTTATTTTTATATATTGTTAAAAATAACAAATTCCTTTTCAGAAATTACCAAATATGAATTAGGGGTATATTTTCCACCTTATTTTAACATTTACAATTTATACAGATTTGCCATTCCACCAGAGGTCTCTGTAATTGCAGGACACTTTTCCTTACAACTTACTTTGGGAGGAACACGTCACCGCAAAGCTACCTATAGAAGAGAGGAGCATTATGACAGGAAAACCATTTCCAAGGTCCTGTACCCTGTTACGCTTTCTTTCTGGGTTCCTAAATTTACTAGGAAAGGTCATGTTTCTTCGTACTTTGTGTGTGACTGGGGAGGCTGGTGAAAGGTTCCTGCCCGTCAGCCCTTTGTACTGAGTCGCGTCAGCAGGACAGGTACAGCATCCACTATAACTAACGGCAGGCTGTCTGTGTTTGTACAACCGCCCAAAACTCATCTCCACTTTTAACGAGTGCCAACTCTAGTGGCTAGAGAGTTGAAACATGTTGACCTAATTTTCTTGTCACCTAGATATTGGCAGGTGATGATTCTCAGTTGTTTTCAGCAATGGGATCTATGAGTAATTCCTTCAGCAACACAGACTAAGCCAGACTTGCCGTTTAATCAGTGATAGGTCTGCGTTTAATGGCTTGATTGTTTTTCTGGAAATGCGATGTGTGTATCTTGAATATCACAATATGCTTGTTAGCGAGCAAGATGGGAAGAACAGACACTCTGGAAAGGTCATGACAAAGCAGACTTTGCTGTTGCTGTACTGCGAGAAAGGTAATCAGAAGTGTCTCAAACTGCCTTGGTTTGGAAATTAATCTCTGACTAAATTCAGTTGCATTTAAAGGTCCTGGGCTTAAAACGTCCTGGAAAATTAATGCAGATTCTGTTACCGTGTATAGAAGAAACTATACTTGATGCACATGAGGACAGAGAGACAATAAGCTTAAAATTCTCGGAGCCATGTCGTTTTTGGGCGCTAGAGCAGCGATTCAGCTGTGTTCTGGTATTGTCTTGGAAAGTTTCTGCTTCACTGTATAGTCCAGGCTGTTCTTGCTGAGCTGCCATTCTTCTGGATCCATGCATTTGAAATCATAATAATGATCGTGTGGATACCTTCTAATTTGACTGTAATTTAAACACTGCTTTCTCAGCTCCCTGGCCCTAATTGCAACTCACTGAGGCAGGCAGCCACACTCCCCATGCAGACTGGAATAACTGCCTGCTACTGAGCAAATGTAAATTAGGGACTGAAACAACTGCTTTGCTGTGCTTTGCAGAATGAGTACTACAGGTGATGGATCACATTCAAGCGGTAGAAGTCTTTGGGTTAGTTTGCATCTTTTATCTTCCCTGTGGATACAGTACGGCAGCAGTTATTAGAGCTACACAAAAGAAACCAGGTCGGGTTTAAAAGAACTGCATGGTCCACACTACAGTTTAGTGAACTCAATTTGCAGAGCAAGGCTACCTCGGAGGCCAGAAACAGCAACCGTGTTTGTGCTCTGATCATTGTTTTCTGGGCAGTGATGGTGTCTGTGCTGATAGCTGCTCACTCTTGTTATGTTGTGCTAGGATTTTTGGCTCTTTGCCTCTGAGATTCCACTGGGATTAGCAGCACGGAGATGGTGATTACTGCCACAGAAATCATAGGAAGAAAGTAACATGAAAACATGAAAGGGAAAGAAGGGATCCTTTCAAAACGCAGGGCAAAGATAGGACTCAGCTTTATATATTACTCTACCCAGGAAGATCCATCATAGCTCTTCCTGACAGAGCAATAGGAAAATCAAATGCCTTCTAACTGAGAAGTAGACACATTTCTTTCCTCATCCCTGAAACAGCAGCTTGCCAGCTATTCTCTAAAACACACCATTGGTGTTGAAACGTGCTGTGTAATTCCATTCTCTTAGAGGTAATGACACTTCTCTTAGAGGTAATGACATGAGCATGACATTGTAGAGCACAGTTCATTCTGGGTAGGCATGCTGTAAACATCACTAGAGGAGTGCTGGATGGAATGTATAATGTAGGGGAGAAAACTGCAAGATTATGGCTACCATTTGCTGTTTTAGTAGCCAGTAACTGGCTAACTGAGGCTACTCAGTACCATACTTTTTGGATGAAGCCCAAGTTTTTAGCAATAGCTTATGCCATTGATCCTTCAGCTCCTACTATTTACCAGTTTTCTAACAAGTCTAGCTTTTTTTTTTTTTTAATGGGGATGCAGGTGTATTCAGAGGCCGACAGATAGAGTTTAGAGCTGCTGAAAACCAAATTATGGCTTTTGAGTTCCAGTTCCAGCTCTGTAACTGACTCATTGTATTTTAACTTCCTGACCATAAACTGCGGCTGAAGTTCACAGCATTTTTCTCAGAGAGGCTGTAAAGGTAGATTATTTTGCATTTTAAATTTAAACTATTATGAGATTTATTGATAGAAGCCCTAAAGGTGTATAAATTAATGCAACATAATTAACACAATATATGTTACTGCTGTAGTAATGTGCACATTTGTTAAGGTCAATCTCTACCAGGTTATCTTTTCTGAAGTACAGCTGAATAGACGAATTAGCACCCAAACGTTCTGAACGTGCTGTGGGAACAGGCAATGATCAGGAGTAGTAAAGTTTGAGGCTAATTTCTTCTCCAGAATCATCAAACTTCAGCCCCGAGTCATCACATTAGCTCATTCCATTTCTAATTAGCCACCAGCTTATAGGCTATTGGCTATTATTTCTGTGTCTAAGAACTATGGATTTGAAGGCAATGCAGCAGCTATTGTCCTCTGAAATAATGCCATGTAAGCACAAAGAGAGTGTCTGGAGTCACAAAGAATAAAAAGAAGGCAGCGACCCGGAGAAATACCAAACTGGAAGCATCACCATATTGAAATTAGGTGGAAGCTGCTTTGCCTACCTTTCCATAATCACAATCCAGGAAGAGATCAGTAAACATTTGCCTCCACATATCATGTCTTACTGCTTCTTGGAAGTCATCAGCACACTGACAGAGATGCTTCAGGATTTCTTGGAACATGTCATCTGAAAAATGTTCAGTGTAGGAATGCACATACTATGGAGAGAAAGCAGTAGTGTAAATGGTTAGCTTTCTTCAAGTATTTTCACCTTTATTTGAACTCTTAAAAATCTATTGCATGCAATGAAATATACGTGATTGTGTAGTTTAATCTGCTAATGGAATGCAACTTGGTGCATGGATGCTACACTGCCTACTTTGTTCTTTCTTTCAGAAGCAGCAATATTCTCCAAGCAAGCCCGGGACGCTGCTGCGCAAGGCGCTGCACAAATGTACCTTGTTTCTTTCCTGGCCCGGAGGTCACTTATCATGTCCAGCAGGTCAGAGACGCCGGATCAGAGAGCATTACTCCTATGCAATGCCATTGCTTAAGCTAGGTTATCTCAGGGAGGTTATAGGTTCTCCGTGGTTTTCTGCAGCATTTAGTATTCCTGACTTACCTCCCAAGGAGGCATTTTGAGCCATTAGTCTTTGCAGAACTGTCACTCAACTCTGTAATGCCACAAAATGACCACTGGCCACAATTTCAGTGTTTAGAGAACCGTCTGGATACAATAAAAAAAGGAAAGAACCTTTTGAAAATGAGCCCTGTCACCTAAGTCTACTGACACTGGGAATACTACTGACTCAAGATTTATTTTAAGTTCTAGCCTTGGAGACACTTTAACACTTTGGATTTATAGCCATGTGGTTTTTATGAGCAAAAGCAATATGGTTCTAAAAATGTGGTGTGCATGACATAAATAATAACGGCCATCAGGACAGACCACAATCCCAAAGCCTGGGCTGAATTATTACAGCAGATTTCTGGAGCCAGCCACCATAACAAGGAGCCCATACAGTTAAAAGGAAGAATTTGCAAAACACGGGATGTTTCCCATTATCGCATTTTTAGAGTATGGATACCTGACATAAGTGTTAGAACATCTTGGACTTGTTGAAATGCCACACAGGCATTAATGAACTGAAATATTAATGTATGTTATTATTATTCATGTCTGTATTGCATAATTTCCAGATATATGGGACAAGTGGAGAAGAGAGGAGGAGCAGAAAAGCAGCAGCCAATGGCCTGAGGGGTGGCTGGTGGGAAAGAAGAACTCCTAAGGCAATGCATGTTTTTTCTGCATTTCAGCATAAAAAGAGAGAAGGTGGCAGATCTGGGGCTACGTGTATCTACGAGCTTTTCAGAGATATTACAACCAAGAGCCCTGTGACAGATGAACCTTAAAGATGACAGCAGCTGGGAGGAGGTAGATTGGACAAGCAGCTTGTTATTTTGTATGTCATCCTGATGACACATCCGAAGGCTTGTGTATTAATACTGCTGTCTAACAGCTCCACACAACATTTTTTAGGAGCGTGTGTTCGGCTATGTGGGCAGGAGGAGCTATCGTAGAGTCGTAAGCTTTTCTTAGCTGATGTGTGTAAAGTACTCTATGGTGTAAAGTACTGTACGCATAATAAGCACACATTTATTTATTATTAACCCAGAGATTTTGACACCTATCAGAAGAAAGCTGGCACACCTCCTTCTTGCTACCCAGCGTGAGACCTCGCCGTAGTTTTGTGCACACATTATCATCAATAACAATGGATCTTTGCTTTTTGTCCCTGCTGATCCCAGTAGAAATCAAGGAAGCCACATGCAATCATGAAAAATAATCTCACCTTTAAAGCCTGGTTCTGACCCTACAAAGGCAATGTGAGTATTTCCCTTGGTGTCAATAGCTTTATGTCAGACTGCCGGGGGTTCTGCATGTTAGAATACAAAGCATGTGAAATAAACTATTAAGGACTCGTGTCCGGGATTTAAACGCTTTTAATGTAACTAACCCCACGAGCTTGTCACGAAGGATGTAAAAATTCAACAGCCAATTGTTTTGCATGTCTGGAAAAAAAAAAAATCCAAACCCAATAACAACGTGTGAGGTCTCTCTATGAGTTTCTAACAGCCTTAAGTAACCCAAAGCTGCACTGAATTCAAGGAGGGGAAAAAAAGCGCTATTTAATTTTAAGGTCCATTAAAAAGCAACTCCTTCCACATGTGAAAGGGCCTAGACCAGTGTGGAGAAAGATCACCTCTCTTTCTGGTTTTGGTGCATGATGCAGACTGATGAACAAAGGTAAACTGCAGCTGAGGATTAGAAACAGCCCTGTCCTGAGAGCGAGGCCTGTGATTATGGAACAGTTCCCAAGGGAAGGGATGAAAGCCTCATCGCTTGACTCAGTGAAAACCGGACTGGAAAAAGCATCAGAGAATATATTCCGAGAACAGCGTTGCACGGGCGGGTAAGCCAGACAGCTTGCCGGTCCGTATCTTTTGTACTTCTGATCTCTGTTGTCATATCTTTAATTGAGTTAAAATAAAGAGTACACAAAATATATTTTAAAACATTTTTCTAATGCTAATGGAGCACGAATTCATTCGGTGCTTATACATGTACCACAGAGGTTATGGATTGATGCTTCATTTCAGTGACAAAAGCAATTCTCTGGACTCCCATTATCCACAATAGTTTTTTTAAATTAAATGCAGTGATTCTGAGGTTAAACTTAAAAATACCTCATTTCATGCTTAAAAAAGCCTTCAACAAGTTATCATAAAAATGCATCTCTGTGCAAAATGCCAAACATGGGAGTCTCCTGAGAGCAAAGGTGGCACAAAAATCACACATGGTTGCTTGAAATTAGTCTCTGCACAGCTGCTTTATACTCCGTTTTTAATTATTGTAACAGCACCCACTAGCACTGCTGCAACTGAGGGTCTGTCGTTATTTCTATTCGAAACGTCCCTTTTCACAGTTTTAATTACCCAGCCACAAAATTTAGCTCTGTCGTAGGTAGAAATGGCTGGCAAAGTCTTGGCCTGGAGAGTTTTTCAGTGAATATAGTTTGAACCGATTTGTTGTTTTCAAATTGATGAAGAGTAGAGTAATGGGGTGGAACTTCCAACTACCTTTATTGATTTTGGTGATTTAAAAACACATGTTTCTCAATGACAGCTTTTGATTTTAAAACTGCATACTTGTCAGCCTGCTTACGCTTCTCACACACTTATGACACTTGATGCAGTTTGGTTATGGTTCAGGCCAGCAACAGTTCAGGCCAAAAATGGTAGAGCTTCTCATCCCAGCTCATCACTTCTTAGGTTTTTCTGTGGTTAATAGAACTTAATCAGAAAAAAACAATACCTTGGGGACAGTACTAATTACCTCAGGATAATGGTTATACTGGGACACCGAACCTCCCTTGAGCAGCCAATGCAAAACCTGAATTCACAGGTGATTCAAGGCTTTGGCATCTAGAAAGGGACCGATAGGGATGTCCTAAAACCCACTGCTGCTAGAGTAACTTCTCAGAGAGCGGCACAAGTTGCAGCTCTGAGGAAAGTAAAACACTTCCCCCTTGCTGGCCAGAATGGAAGCGTTGTGACAGCAGAGGATGGATACGGAGATGGAACATGAAATGTCCTGATACAACCAGTTACCTGGGATGCTGGAGAAGTGAAGCCCTTCACTTACTCATCTTAGCTGTCCCCAGGGAAATGCTACTGCATTGTGATAAACATGATATTCTGAATCAGATGCTCTTATTTCATTTCTCACCTCTGTGAATTCATCTATGTTTACTTTTTTTCCCAATGTGTCTATGATTTCCAGCTTCCTGTCATAGATTGCTAGTAAAAAATGAAGGGATATTGGTTTAGAAAGCAAACAGTTGTGGTTTTGCATATTGTACACATTTTTTTGCACATTGTTACATTACATTAACTTCTCACATTGGATGACATTTATTTGAGGTTATCCTACACAATAGCTGAAGCATCTGACTGCATAGCTGCTATTTAAATTTGATTCTTACATATTTCTCTTGCTGAGAAATCTGCACTTATGTATTCAGAACTGTATGGTCACATTTATTCTTGACATGTTGGTGCAAATTGCAATGATTTTAACAGTACTTACATCTAATTACGTGAGGGAAGAAATGATTTTTGATTTAACAAACAGAAAAAACAGCCTTAAAATTCTGGGGACATGGATTCTGCTTTGCAAGAGTGGAATCTGAGTCAGTATTTTCCCAAGAAGCTCCGTGGGAATATTTTTACTGATTATGATATTCAAAACTATCTTTTGGTCATATCTTTTGGTCAGCTTCTGGGCTGCTATAATGGAACTGAGAAGGTATGTCAAATGTCTACACAGATTTCTGAATGAGGCCTTCGAGCACAGACATGCTATTTTTCTGTTGGGATTATTTTTCTGTTCTTCCTTCTACAACATATCAGGAATAAAGAGAAAATTCATAGAATGCATTTATCTCTTGTTGCTTAAGACATTCCTAAGCTGTATATTATCTTTATTAAAATATAAAACAAAGCTTAATGTTCCAGTAACGTGTATTGGATACTATTAAGTGAAATACATTAAGAAATGGAGGCACACGGTTAGTGAAATATGACATAAAGCACCTCCAGCATCTGTAGAACAAGCATCTGGACAGAAACTTCCTTCTCAGTCTCACGTCCCAGTACCCGTTCTCGCCCGAGAACCACAGCCACCACAGCAGGAGCACAAGGGCTGTGTCTGGCATTCGCGCAGCGTGCTGCCACCGTGGGATGGTAACTCAGAGGAGCAATTCTGTAATATAGACAGGGCTGAGCAAGGGCAAGCTCTAGACAGAGGTGACTTCAGCAGCAAGCAGAAATGCTCTCGAGAGGTTCCCCGTCTCATCCCACCTTCCAGCTGATGATCATTACAGGCTATGGCTGTAAAGGGCTGGCAGCAGGCTGTATGTTGCCACTTCAATATTCCTGGCTCTATCTATCCAATTATCATTATTTGGGGAGGTCAAGTGTAAGCTATGCAAAGCAGAGAGCAATTATGGAGATCTTTCTGTGCTGAGTGCTCTGATACAGAGGCCCTCGTGCTGCGTGTCACTGGCATGCCTGGGGCTGGCAAAGGGAACGGCTAGACAAGCCGGGTGATTTGGTGGAGCGTTAGGTAAGCTTCAGCATTTTCCCTGAAACCATAAAGGCTAACAATGCTGTCAGACTTCAACTTCTTCGATCCTACCTTTCCTCCACACTTCCCACCATGCCAGGCTGTCTGTGGGATTTCCAAGACCTCCCATGAGGCAAGGAACACCGGGGGATAGAGTAGATGAAGGAGGTTGTTACATTCTTAAAAATCATGATAAGCACATGGCAATGTCTGGCTAATGCGGGGTGTAAGTGGAAAGGGTCTGCATCTGCTCTTTCAATCTCTCCGAAAGATTTTTTTAAACTTCTTTCCATAGTGTTCAAGATCATGTTAATGAACCATGTGGTCGTTCAGTCTCTTTCCAATCTGTCTGAAGATTTGTGGTTAATATCCTAGCGGGTGTAACTACCCTTAGAGATTCTTTCTCTATTATCAAATCCATTCACCCTTTGCTCATAGTTTGCATCAGAATTCAGACCACAGAAATAAAACTAAAGGAGACGCATCAAAAACTTACCTTTTCGCACCTCTGGGGGAGTAGAAGCAACGACATCTGAAAAAGACCTCAGGGCACTCTGAACCTACAAATCAAAGTAATACTCAAAGGCCTGTTTTGTGCAGACAACAGCAGGCAATTACAAAAATAAATCACCTGGGTTAATTAGTTGTAAGGGCCAGCAATGCGTCTTACCACAGAGGTGGGCCCTCTTGAAATGTAGACCTTGTCTATGTTGTGCCGTGTGTAACCACAGGACAGTTTCTTAGGGGCCTTGTGTGACTTGTGAGAAAGATGCTTGTACCAAGAGGTATATTACAATTACTGCAAATCTCATCTTTTATGAGCTGCAGTATCAATTTGCATAAGTCACAAGGAATATTTAATGGAGGCCACAGGAGAGCAAGAGTGGCTACCCCAGACCTTTCTCGGGGGATTCTGAGGGATAACCAGCTGCAGAGAAGGACGTCCCATGGTGAGGTATGTATCCAACAACCTCAGGAGTGTCTGAGTAGCTTTTAGCTTAGCGTTTAGCTTCCCAGGACCTCTGTGGAGAACGCACCGCAGTCCTTCCACGTGCTCGTGGGGAATCAGGGCTTCAGTGGTAGGCAGCAACCTGCACCCCGACCCTATGGGATGTCGGAGCCAGTACCCATCCCTTTACTCCACACTGCCATGCCAGGGCAGATGCCACTGTCACGGACTTCCTTTCCCTCCTGTCGGGAACAGGAGGAAGCAGTGTCTTAGCAAGGACCATCCCTACTTACCTGTGCAGCTGGTATTCTGCCACTGACATCCGCCGTCCACTTTTTGAACTGAATGGCCAGAGCCTCCCTTCTCATCTCTTTCACCTGAGACTTCATATAGTCCACCTGCTCCCTTTCTTTACGTCTGTTCTTTGCCTCAGACTTCATCCTGGCCAGCCTGTAGCACATGGGAGTGTCGTTTAGAAAGATACCACCATAAACATATTTAAGATAGATTAAGGCTACCCTGAAGAACAAAAGGAAAGGAAAAAAATTGTTACTGAAATTCTTGTCCTTCTAGTGCAAGCAGATTTTTTTCCAAAGAAATACTTGATGTTTGGGGCACAAAATTACTAGTGTGACTATTGGACTAGATATTAACAATCTGTGTTTTCAGAGGGCAGCTCCAAGGAGGTGAGAGTATTTATATTCTGACATGTATCGTCTCCTGAAATCTAGTGTAACTATAAATCTGAAGCAATAACCTGAGCGTCAGATATGTGCATGTGGAGAGAGTCTCTTGTAGGGTATACGGTCGACATTTAAGAGCAAATCGTCTGTACAGCTCTCCTAGTTTGTGTAGTTTCAACAGTGATAAATTTTACCTTCACATTTATAATGGAGTTAATCATTTATTGTGTAGATGTTCTTTCAATTTTAGCAGGAACAGAGGTGCCTAATTTTGCTACACTTGATTTACCAACAAAATTGCATCAGTATGCATTTGTCTCAAAGCCTAAGTACCATTTCACACAGGCACTTCACTGGCAAAGAACAACATTTAATGAAATTTCTTAAGCAGTCTCACACAAGAGAGTCTTTACTGCCCTAGGACAGGGATAACAGACCAACCTCTTCATCATTTTGAACACTCAGAGTTTTCCAGCTTGGACTAAAAGTAACTCCCTTTCCTCTGCCTTCTGTTTTCTTTGCTTTTCTAAACACCCAGCCATGTTTTCCCCAATCCTCCGTTTCACACAACAAAAGAACTGAATAAAATTGATCCCACAGAACTCAACTGCTTTCATTCTGACTTTGTTCATTTATGAAATGGGAAAAAAGCCTTTAGGAAGTTCAAAATGCTTAAAGCCAAAGGATCGGCTCACCTGGGGAGAACAGTTCCTGCTCACGGAGGCTGCTGGAATCTCTCTGCATTGAGACAGTCGCCCAGCGCACCTCTGTGGCTCTCGCTTACACCCTCTGTGGCTACCCAGAGTAAGGGGAATTGCTCCTCATATGTACCTGAGAACACACTAGTCCAGAAACTATATTTTAACTCAAGTTCCCGCTCCCTTCTTCCCCCCGTGTTTCACAAATTGTGGAGAAGGGCTGATCCTGTCCCTGCGATCTTCTCTTGCTATGGGGTCATCCTAGAAATTATAAACCAATGATATTTTCATTAATGAATAGAAAGGCCTGTCTAACGGGTTACAGCAACACACTTTGATCGCAGTCAGTTTTATCGCTAGGTACTTGTTCTTCACGGCCACTATCACTGAGGCTTCTTAACGAATAACACGGTTCCTCCATCAATCGTGGGCATCGCACAAGCACCTGCTGCGGCAGCACAGCCTCCGGCACCGACAGCAGGGGAAGGGTAACGGCATTTCCTGTCTTCTGGCTCCTTCAGACACAGCAAAGAGCAAATATAGAGCAGGTACCAAGCTAAATGCACTGACAGATTTTTCTCCAACGTATGCTACAGCCAGAAAGAGACAACCAGACCATTTCGAACTGCAGGTCCTGCTCAGGAGCAAAGCCCAAAAGCCGAGCTAAGGCCATGCTAGGAGTTGCCAAGGTGCTCTGGTGATTAATTTGGGCAGTGCCCGGCATGAGTCACATCGCATGCTGCGCCTGCACCGTCTCGCATTTATTTCTAGGGTCCCAAAGCACCTGCAAAAAACACCTAAACCAGCCGCATCCTCTGCCTGGTGTCCCTGGTGTGGGACAAAACGTTTCCTTCCTAGACAATAGCGGCAAAACTGGCTATAACAGTGCTGGGCACGCGTTTCACAGTCAGCTCATGTCAGTATCGGGCGTTTTGAGAAAAGATGAGACGGCAGCGAGGGTGATTTCTGCCTGCAGAATGAAACGTGTTTCTTCGGGAAGACAGCCGCCTACCTCCCACGCGAGGATGGGTGACGCAGACTGAAGGACTACCACCCCTACCATCCCTGGGCAAATAAAGACTCCGTTTCGGGTATCAGTCTGTTTGGATAAGGAATTTTCTCCTGCATGCCTTGACTCCCGGTCAGGAGGCAGTCAGGGAGAGAGCGGAGGAAGCCTGCGAGAGCTCGCTGAGGGTTGGGGAGCTTTAGACAAGAACCTGTGGTGAAAACCTGCCTTTCCTGAAAGTAATGACCAAGGCTCCTGGGAGCTTCGCTGGGGCCAGAATTTCACCCCTCGTCTTTCTGGTGCTTATGTGAGAGATCTTGAGCACAGACTGGCATTTCTCTTGTAACATGTTTTCCTGTTTAGAAAGCCAGTGACGTAAATTAGGAGTCTCAGTGCTACATGGTGTCCGTAAAATCCTCTGTGCTGCTCTGGTTTAAGAACCCTATGCAAATCCCACAATGCAGCCATCACAAATATGTAAATCCTGAGCTGCTGTGAACGCAAATCCCGTGATACGACTACCAGCAGATATATGCAAACCCTGCCACAGCTATGGCTACAGAACCCCCGTGGCAGCGCTGCCTACGGAGAGATTGATTTCTACAAGCCTTGACAGTCGCTTCCTTTGCATCAGCTCCGACAGCTACAAATGGAGAACCTGCAAATGCAAACACGGACTTAAGAGCCGAGGCTAAGCTAACATGTCGCTGGTAGCCAGCGCTTTGCATTCTACAGGAAAATCTGACCTCTCCAGAAATAAGCTCTGGTTCACAATGAAAGCTAAGGGTATTTTAGCAAATAGAAAAAAAATAACCAAAACCGAACAAAAAAACAACCCAAAATCCCAGGGAATTTTATGTATTTTCATTCAATTTGTTTTCCAAAATAAAAATGAGATACGGTTCTGAACTTCCTGCATCCAGGTGTCCCTCTGTGAAACAATATGAATGGTGAAACAGTCCCCAAAACAAAGGTGTTTTGCAGGGCTGGCATCCTAAACATCCCCCCCGAACAGTCTGTGCTTGAGTGAAAGCTCACTGAAAAAGGTGTTTCCTCAGATCATTTGTTTCAGTGGTCCAGCATTTTAAAAACAAAAAATAAATTTGAAAATCTTTTACCAGCTCTGGTTGTACTACTCTATGTCTGCTTATGAAGAAAAACCAAAAAGCTGAGCTCTTACACACTGACCACAATCAGTCAGTTACAATTATTTTTATCTGCGGGGAAAAAGGAGGTAAGTGACTATATGAAATTAATTTATTACAACGCTTTAGTTGTATTCGCACAAGGCATGTTCCTATGAGCTGTAGCAGTATGTGCACTAGAAATGTAGAGAGACAGAAACCCAGGGCAGTAGAGAGAGATTTAACATATCCTTTAATTCATTATAATACTGGGAACTTCAATTATCTTCATTTAGAGTTTATGCATAAGATATCTTACTTCCCTAATTCCTGACACCGAAACCCTGAAACCAATTTTCAAGCTGTATGTACTATTTATGCAAATAGAAGAGACAGCCATTCAAATAAAGTCATTATTCTCCAAACACTGATATAGAATGAAGTGATCTAGTAGTGAATGAGTAATTTTGACATCATTCACAATCACCTCTGGGTCACCTATAAACACAAATGTTCACTTCTATACTTTTCTGAATAGAGCAATGACAAGGAAAGCGTTATTGTTCACCTAATACACTCACATTCTAACCTTACTATATGGTAAGATGCCATGGAACCCCTTTCCAATATTCATTAAATATGATACTAAAGCAAGCAGTCTGGAACACACCCCAGAAATAAGCAACATAATAAAACACAAAACAATTTCTACTGTTTTGGGGAAAAAAGTGCAAGGGAAAAAAGGATCTGAAACGAAAGCCTAGGTAAAATCCCAGGAGGAGGAATTTCTACAGTGTGCCAGGACAATATTGTTGTTGGTTTGATCAAGAGAAATCATCCTGAAGGAGCAAATAAATGGTTATCTGTTTATTAAATTTGGAAGGCTATAGAAGAAATGATCTGAAGAGTCCATAGACCTTTGATGCTCACACTTGTCCTAAAGAACTGCTGTTCACTAACCTAGACCGGTTTGAAAGCAGTTTGCATTCCTCATACGTAATTAAAATAGAGTCTAAAGACAAAATATCTACTTGTGAAGGGCAGAATATTGCCTTAAACAGGAATAACTAGTGTTTCATTTGGTGTGACATGTTCTGGCATTTGTCCTGCTTCTCAAGTTTTTATGAGAGACAACTACCATCTCTGGCACTGTACTCCACAAGGCTCATTTTGTTTGACACTTGGCCAGCCAGGCTGCTGTCACACCGTTCCTTTTGTAAAACAGGGACCAAGACACCAGCTCTGGTCTGGTGACCAGCCATACTTTCAACTCTCTCACCTCTCTGACGCTGTACCTGGCATCTCAGCTTTTAGCACCTCTGTGACCATCTTCATTCCTCCCAGGTACGGGCCTGGTTTTGTAGAAATATCATATCGAGGGTTATGTCTCATCAGATATTCTCCAAGAAAATTAATGGGGTTAAATTTGGCTGCTGCTTCATCTGGTGCAAGCACATTCTTTCTTTCCACTTCCATTAACAGTTTTTCTACTCCTGGGATTAATGTAGGTAGGAGTTTGTCAAGCAGATAGATGCGAGTATCTAGTGACTCCTTCTCTTCACTGAGCCAGTCCTTGGGCAGCCAGTCACAGGGTTCTCTCCTCTTTACCTTTTCTTCTTTTGCCTTTTGTGCATGAATCGTCTTCACCTTTGTCTCCTGCAGACTCAGACACCTCTGCTGTACCTTTTCATAAAAACACTCTGTCCATGGAGCGTCATTGCTAAGACATGGCAGCTCATCATTCCCCTGATTTCTCTTCATTGCTGTAGCAGTCGTATCCTTACCTCCAAGTTTGGGACGTTTTAGTGCAGTTTGGGCTGCTTCTTCCGGCTGAGCAGCCATACTGCGACCGCTGTGACACAGAACAAAACCAGCATGTTATATAATGCCAAAAAATGCAGCAGTGTCCCAGCAGTTGACACGGGAAGAAAGTCAATAGTTAGGAATTAGCTCATATTCTTATTCTATGTTCCTTTTTTATTCTGTTACTGCTGCTTTGTACTCTTAAATAAACACAGCCCCTTTACTTCAAAGATCGGTAAATGATTTATAAAGATTAATTATGTATCACAACAGCCCTTGGAGACAGAGCAACTAAATAAGCGTGTTCCTTTCTTATGGGAGAAGAAACCGAGACACAGAAGAGAAGTGATTAATTCCAGGTCACTTAGAGACTCAGAAACCAAGTGGTGAACAGTGCACGGAAGCCTTGTCCCCCAGTTCTAGCCAGTGGATTCCTCTTACCCTTGTATGATTATTTCTGTTTAGGTCCCATTCCATGCCTCCAGGAAATCCACTGGATATGAGACAAACGGAAAATAGTGAAAGTAATGGAAAATACCAGGTGCCTAGGAGCAAGGTTTCTCTACGTGCCGCCTTATGCTTCATCTTTTCGGTAGCTGTGAAAAACAGTGAGGAAGCTTGTCCCATAGGCCACTTAATTTCAACTCTGGCAACTATTTTTTCCTCAGGACATTCTGTTAAGGTAACAAGGACACAGCTGTATGGGTCAGCAGAGCTCCTACAGAAAGGGAAATTGTATACCATGAACTCTGTAATTAAGCTGTTCACAAGCACTTCATCTTGTAGATTATTCTGTAAAAGACAGACCTACAGAAAGTTGCAGATACCTCCCTTTACAATTTCCCAAACTCCACTGTTTTCTTCTCAAAATGTTCATTCTGTGAAATATCAAGAAGAAACTGAGTTGCTCACAAGGCACAATGTGAAAACTATTGCTATACGTCTGCACACATAACTGGCTGCGTCTGTAATGGGACTTACACATGCAGAATGGAGCAGCCTGTTGCCTAACTACTTGAGTCGAGGCACGAAAAATCACCCGCATGCTGCAAAATACCCAGCTCGGTGTTAGCCACCAGCAAGGGAAGGGTGATAGTAATAGAGCGAGCCTAACGCCTTTCCAAATTAAAGATGAAATTCCGTTCTGAACTTGCTGCCACGCTATCCTTTTCAAGCTCTTATTTAAAAGCGCTTTTTCCTATGGCCTCTCAGTATCCATAGCAATGCTGTTGCTTGTGATACGTTTCGCTCTTCATGTTTAAGCGTTTGTAGCTGCTCTGAAGAGAGTTCAGCCTTCCAGGAAATGCATAAATGTGAGCTACAGCCCTCCTGGCACACAAGTGTAATTACTAACACGTTGACCTTCTGGTTCATAACCATTGTTTGAGTCCAAATACTGCCTGGATAGGTAGGATGCTTCACAGCGCTAAATTTCTATGCCTGTTTTCTTGATGGGCTTGTTGGCATCTTTTGGTAATTTGTTTTCAAAGATGATTACCTGCTGGGGAATGAGATAGATTTATGGATCAAGCTGCCTGCCTGACCCACACAGAGGGTTTTAAGATGGTAGCTGGTTTCGCCACCGGAGGACAGGAGCTGTAAAGGAGTCCAGATTTATAATGGTAGAAAGGGAAACCTGTCAACCCTGTCAAATTGTTCCTTGCTTAGGTGAGTTTCTTTCAATATGCTGTAAAACCAGACTCTTTCTGGTTCAAAGCAGGGTGTTAACCAAATGTTCTGGTCACATTCCAAATCAGCTGGTTTTGTTGTGCCAAAATAAACCGTTCTTGCAGTTTCAAATACTTATGTTATTTTTTAACATCCTTTATGAAACCGCTCTGCAGTTTCTGTGCAACGTTAAAGTGACAACTGCACTTTGCTTCATGAGGTGGCTGACTCTGAATGATGATGAATATATTTTCTACACTGCTCTCAGCCATTTGTTAGGATGATTTTGAGGATTAGTAAATGTTTATAGAGTGTCTCTCTGTCTCTGATCAAAACAAACCAAACCAAAAACCAACTAAATGTGACTGTTCTATCTCAATTCCATGGCATTCACAGAATGGAAGCAGAGCACAGAGAACTATGCTCACTGCTTTAATGCAGGACAGATAAAGAAGACTAAGAGGGTATGGAAGAACGTACAAACAGCACATAACCGTTAAAATAAACAACAAAGGAGTGCTACAATAAAGCCCTGAAACTTGGAATTTATCGAGGATTACAGGAGGACACCTCCAGCTGTATAAGACACCACTGGCTCATAAACTTCAGTGCTGATTTACATTAGTTGAGAATTTGGCCCATAATATATGGAGTTCTTGTGTCCTGTGACATTCCCAAGCAGAGGCTGGATTGTCCAAATAACAGTAAGTATGGTGCACAGAGACAAGCTTTAGAAACACCCAGGAAATTTGAAATGTGATATAAAGTTTCCCGTAAGCCTGTGTTCAAGCCGAAGGCAAGGTAAGCTTTTCATTATTTAGTAGGTTGCCACTTTCCTGGCTCCTTTTCTGAGAGAGAAATATTCTTGCTGGAATCCCTGCAGGTACAAACAGATTATCTCCTCATTTTCTGTACAAAACCCAAATGTGCTCATAAATAAGATTTTTATGGTTTCATTGTTATTCTGTTAGGGGATTTTGATGGGTGGGAAAGGGCCAGGAAGGACTAAAGTTTGTCTAGGTAAATATTTTGGAGATGTTTGAGTTACAAAAGTCTTTTAAAAACCAGAGTCAATCTCTTCGACGCTCTATTGCTGAGAAATAGTTTTGCCTTTCCCTAACCTGCTTTGCAGAGCATGTTTATCTCGTCAATCACAAAGAGCCCAATACCCTTTTCATACATAATCTGCTTTACAATACAATTAAAATTTAAAAAGACTTTCTCTTTTGCTTTCTGAAGCTTTGAAGAACTGTTTTTCTTACCTTCGGAGCAGGTATCAAAATAGATCTTACTCCCCCCACTTTCAAAGTGGCTTTGCAAATGAACAGGAATTTAATATATGCCCATCTGTTCTCAACTGTTAAAAGTCTTAAAGTGAATTAGGGATTTCTCAGACCTGCGGTGGAGCTGGGCTGTGAGTTTTACTCCTCTGTGTGTTTGCAGTTGCTAAGCAATAATCCCAAAGGTTGCTACGTCTCTTCCGCGACTCGGAATTGCTGTAGGTTGTCTTTTGGCTTTGGCAGCCCAACAGACTCTTCTGTACTGAACTTTGAAGACTGCATCACATGACTGAGAATAAAATAAATAAAAAAGAAGACTATGAATAGCAGCAGCCAACATTAAGGGCACAAATAGCCAGAGAGAGAATCCAGAGGTGCCCTGTGACAGAAGGTTTACCTTCAGATTCAAGGTTCACGAAGTCCAGAACTGTCGCGAGTCCATTAGAAGGTGAACTGAGGACTGTGTTAACCAGATGTGAGAACCTGAGAGATAAAAAGAAATTAATTACAAACTCAAACTCAAACATTTTCAGGTTCTCTTTTTTGCAAAGAACCGTATCGCTTTGAAGCAGCCTTGCAGGAAAGGCACGTACAGCGCTAATAAGGGGGGAGTTTATGGTGCCATTTTGTTAGACTGCCTTTAGACCTGAATCTAAAGGAATTTGATGAATCACCTTTAATAATTTCTCCTGTATTCTTGAAGAATAATGTGCAACACAAGGCAAGGAGAAGGGAAAAGACAAAAACAGCTACGGCAGCCTTTCTGCACTCATTTATACTGATGTACATCAGGTGCCTTTTCAGTGATTTCCTTGGTGTTATGCAGGACTTCCAACTGAGAAGCTTGGGGCAATTTCTGCCAGGAAACAAGGTTTATCTAAGGCTGTTTCTTTCTTTATATTTTGCGCTGGAAGAAGCATGATCTTTGGATTGTCTACCTGCATGAAAACAGAACTGTGCCTTTATCTACGGTACTTGTCATTGGAACCGCTGCACGGTACCCTCCCCGCTAGCAGAGCATTAGTCTCTGTTTTATGGGCAGCTGAGCTTGTTACAAAACTTGAAATAGAGAAAGTTTAACATAAATAACAGTATTTTTCCAACATCTGATACCGTTACTGTCAGAGTCACATTTGTTCTCTAGTTTAGGAACTCCGGAGTTTTAATTGTGGACTCAAAAATGTCAAAAATTATTTCTCTGTCATTGGCATCAAGTTGTCATTTATTACAGCACCCACAACACCAAGGTAAATAATAATTAATTTGTAAAGCTCTGGAACTGGAAATAGCTCTAAGTGACACGCACCATGAGTCCCAACATAAACCCAGTACAACATTTATGCTGCCCTTAAAAAAAGGTTTAGTTTTGTTCCTAAGACCTGCCGTAGAAGTTGGAAAGTGTGCATGCTGTGTACAGGCTTTTTACAAGGAGGAATTTGCTCAGAAATTACAGCAACAAGTGTACTTTAGTGCACAGTCAAAAGCCTCAATTTTAATTTTATTTTTATACTTTCTTTTCTGGAAAGCAGGACGCTATAGAAATTCCTGGTATTTGTACCCAGCAACATTTGTTTTCCTCTATGTAAGCCGGTACATATTTCAGAAAAATTTGTGTGGTTGTAACTTCTATAGATTCTATATTCTACCTTTGGCCATCTGTGGTAAGTGTCTCTCTGAAATACTGTTTCTTCTGGACACTCTCAAATACCACTGGAATTCCAAGCTTACCACTGTAGTAATACACCATAGACACTATGGTATTGACTTGATTATAGATTTCAGTATTTGCTTACAGAGAGGAAACACAGCACACAAAAACCCCACAAAAACATACAAGTCAACTTTCATGTGAAAAATACACCGTAATAAATTAGCATTTCTTTGCTATTTATTTGAAAAAACATGTATCAGAAGGAAATACGCTCATTGCAGTGTATTTCCGAGATGTGTTGAAATACAGCATCAATTATGTCAATAAAACGAAGCAGAAAATGAGTGCACGGGAATAATTTAAAATGAGGCTTTAAACTGGATTGTGCTCTTTTTCCCTCAAAGCAGTTTGCACATGATTAACTCCTGTTATCTCTTCTC